GCGCGACACGCAGACGGCACTGCGCCATGGAGGGGAGGGGCGGCGCGCTGCGCGGCGACGTGCGTGAGTTCGTCCCATCGGACGAGGCGCTGTTCTGCGAGGTTTTCGACGCGCGCAGGCGGGCGCCACTTGGGCTTCTGCGCAACTGGAGTGGCTCGTGCCTGCGTGCTGGGACGAGGACGAGAAGCCCGTCGATAATATGTCGATCCGGTGCCAGTTTGAGGGGCACGGGCATGGGCATGGGCCGCATCCGCTTGTGCCAGCGGGCGGCACTTGGGCTTCTGCACAACTGGAGCGGCTCGTGCCTGTGTGCTGGGACGAGGACGAGCAGCTCGTCGATAATACGTCGATCCGGTGCCAGTTTGAGGGGCACGAGCATGGGCATGGGCCGCATCCGCTTGTGCCAGCGGGCGGGTCAAGTGGGCTTTGCGCCGCTTCAAGTTTTGTGTGCGCTTGTTGCGATCGAGTGGGCGGAGGAGCTGCTCTTGTTCATACAGTATGTGCTCCCATGTGGCGACTGGCGAGAATCAAAAGGAGAAGGAAAGTTCTTTGAAAAAGGAGTGTGGGCGAGACGGGAGCGGGCGGGAGGAAGCGGGAGGAAGAAACGCGGGTTTTTGGGCCTCTTCGGGGAGCTTTGAGGCCAGCGTATCTTACGGCCGAGAGTTCGATCGCTCGGTGGCTGCTGTCCGACCAAAGCCGCGGCTTGAGGGCCCGGCTCAGGCTTTGCAAACCTCAAGCCGGGCCCCGAAGCCTGCAAAGCCGCCTCCAAGGCCCGGCCCGGCTCGGGCTTTTACGGCTCGGCTGCCGGGGCTTGACGGCTTTGGGCCGGGCCTTGCACATCACTATCTGCAAACGTGCACTAGCACATGCCATCGGCGATGTTCATCATAATATGTTGCTTTATATCCATTAACCACGTGGATTTCGAATATTTCGAGGAGGACCTCGTCGGGGAGTATGTTGATTGTCCCTTGACCTACTTTCGATTGGTCAATGGTTCTCACAGGTACTGCGCAGATGCAAAAGACATACGTCGACTCCAATCACCGGTCTCTCCCTTGAGATGTACGGAATTTCCGATCACCAGCTCTTGAGATGGGCTACTTATTAGAACCAATGACCCAGAGATGTTGTTGGAAAGCAATGACGGGGACACGTTGGAGATCATTGCAGAAACTTGAAGTTGATGACGGACGCGCTTTCGAGCATGGCTATGTGAGACTTTCAGTTACTTCACCAATAGTGCTGGCAATTTCCTCGACTCACGAGTGAGGGCCCATTGTAAGGGTTAGTGCAAGTTTGGGTTGTGGTTCGTCCCAAGGGGAGGATTTTAGTAGACAGATGGGTAGTAAAGTGGGTGGGTTCCTTCCCGGGTTCCCTCCATTGATTGATTATCCTCCTGAGTAGCCAGCTAGCTATCTTATATACATGATTGGTAGCTAAGGAGAAAATGGGGAAAAGCATAAGAAAAAGGGGATTTGAAAATATCTAGGTAGGGGGTGAAACAGGGCACAGAATGGAGAGAAAGGTATGGACAATTTGGGAATTGTCTCGGGCGTCGCAGAGCACTCCGGGCGCTCCGATATGCCAGTTCCGAGCCCAGCGCACGGGCTGCCCTTACACCATCACTGAGCATTCGTTCGAGGTAACACAGTTGAGTTGGACGGGTCTACAAATTTATAGGCAAATATGTACCCTAATACACAGCCACACACGTGGATGCCGTACACCTGTCTAGTTCGCCTCGTGCGAATGCGATGATACGTATGTTGTTACAGTAACACCGCCCCCGTGGCGATGGTCCGAGAACAAACTTGAACCGTATTCGAGTGTCAGTCAGCGCCATCTCCGAACCTTGTCATTTCACCTGGTAATCCCAAGAACAAAGCCAGAAATGCACATCTTTCCCATTAATACCTTGACAGAGGAGGCACGAAAGGCGAGCAGCTGCCGCTATGAATGCCCCGTCACACCCCTTGTGCGGCGGATCCACAACAAGCGCTATGCGCATACGCGCAGGAGGAAATCGAGGAGGAAAGTCGGCGTTGCCGCTGAAGATCACGCCGCGTCGCCTATACGGAATGAGACTATGTGAGCGAGGGCAGCACTGAGTGCCAGTTGGTTACAAGAGTACCAGCGAAGATACCGACAGACACGACGGCGACAGCACCGCATGAGAATTTCTGTCGGCCGACTGCGTTGCAGTCTGCGGTCCATGGCCCAACTCCCGATAAATGGTCTTCAAACAACCCTTTACTCGCGTGAGCCTTACATCGTCACATTTCATAGACTTGAGTGTCATACTTCATGCTGGGTCCGAAAACACCACACCAGGAGGTCCATACACATTGGCGTTACAAAAAAACATTACTGTAACCTGTACTACGGAGTCGAACGAGAGTAAAGAATGATAAGCAGGGACGCAGAGGACATCAGTGTTGACGGGAAGGAAAGCAGAGTGCCCTCGTCAATGATGCAATGGTGATTCATCATCGGCACAATTTGTTGAGCTGAGGCGAAACGCGGGGTCATATGGAACCCGCGGACTCGGAAGTTGAGGTCGCGTTGTTATGTTAATATGTAGTTATGACAATATATTCGATTAGTAAAACTATTTTATGATTAAGACAATTATGATAATCATGCTACATCACATAGATAATGAGTTTGGAGGTCGATCTACCTACTCACTATATTGTTCTGAGACCTCAGTAGTGTACTTAAGGACCGCTCTTTCGTAGGATACACTTCAGTGCTGATTACCAGACTGAAGTGAGTATTTTCGTACTATTTACTATTACAGTACACTAACGCGCATTGTAGTTACTTGATGCTTAGGTAATTGCGCCAGTCAATATTAGTGCTGATTACCAGACTGAATTACTTGACGCTTAGCGTCTGATCACTTTAGCTGCGCTTCTTCACAATTTACGGCCATTGACTGCCACAGGGTGGCTGGAGAGCTGCCGCGCAGTGACAAACTGCACAACTGCATCCTTGATAGGTCCCGATAGCGACGACTCCGGTAAGAAGATAGTTTTTAGCGCGGGTAACACGTCCATTATTCTTTCCCCAGCGAGCTCTTGCAAGGCAGGTACAACACGCTGCGTTTATTCCTTGGATAGGAATAAACTCTTCACGCAAGTAAATGACTGTATGCCAATAAGGTCGGAAATACACCATCTCGCAAATTTCGAGGTGTTCCGGGTTGAAGAGGGAAAGGATGGCGACTCACAGAACTGCATCAGAGATGAAAGCTGCCAATCTGATGGCTTGCATAGGATCGTCAACTCGAACCCTAGGCGACTAGCTGTCATGAAGGAAAGGTTGACAGTCACAGCCAAACGTCATTCGTGCTTGACTCCGTGACGTGAGCTTCTCTGAGCGACTGATAAACGAACAGAGCCATGGAGTATTGAAGATAAGTTGATTGAAGAATGCTATATCGAGTTTGCTGAGAAACGGGACATCGATGCGGGAAGTGAGGCCCTCCAAGTACTCGCTGGCGCCTCGAAACTGAAAAAAATTGAGAGCAGGGAGAACGGCGCGGATCGAGCGAGGTGGACTTGGCTGATCCGGACGAGATCGAGGGGATCGGAATCCAAACTAAAGCCTTTCGAGCCTAGTCAATCTGGACAGACCAGCGACCACTGCCTCGGGTGAAGCGTACCCGGAATGGGGAATGTCCCAAAGGCAAAGGTCGATAAGGTCGCTGGCAGACAGAAGTAGCTTTGGTAGTGCCGGACATGGGATGCGATACAGCCTGAGTATTTGCAAACCTGGGGCAGTTCGACCCAAGAACGAATCAGGAATGACGGGCGCCGTTTTACTATACGTGTTTAACCCGAGATGTGTCAGTTTTGGGAAGGGGTCCTTCATCGCTGCGGCGAATCGCCCCAAAACGGAATCAGGGATGTACCGGAGTTCGATTCGACGGACACGATCGGGATGCCCGAGTGCGGCAACGATGTTATCGGCACCCTTCACTCGCGAAATGTCGTCATTAGTACTGTCCTCTATGATGATGGGAAAGGCTGGCCAGATGTCCAACATCTTCCTTGCAGGTGTCGTGAGTGTGCACTGAAGTCGCAGATCCAGGCGACGTGTTGATGCAAACACAACACTTCGCCATCGTCCGCAAACGTGCACCAGTGTATGCCATCGATGGATGTTCTCATTCATGGTGTCGATATCGAATATTTCCAGGAGGACATCGTCGTGGAGTATTTCGATTGTCACTTGGCCTATACTCGATTGGTCGAACGTTCTCACAGATACTGCACGAAGGACATACGTCGACCCCAATCACCAGTCTCTCCCCTGAGTTGTATGGAATACCCTCCAATCACCGGTTCTCGAGATGGGCCACTTATCAGAACCGATGACCCAGGGATGTCAGGAAGTAATGATGGGGCTTTGCTGGAGGTCACCGTAGAGACTTGGTGACGGATGTGCTTTCGAGCATAGCTATGTGGAGTTTGAATCACTTCAGTAATCGTGCTGGCTATTCCCTTGACTTGTGAGTGAGAGCGCATCACTGAGCATTCGTCGGGGGTGACGCAGTAGAGTCGTCCGGCCCAGAGAATGACGAACCGAACTGGATTACACAGCCATACACGTGATGTGGCACAACCAACTGTACGTTTCGTTAACGAAATTGAGCTTCAGCTATCACCATCTCTGAACTTGTCATTTCACATTTCAATCCTACGAATAATCCCAGAAATGGGCATAGTAGGGTCCCGCGTTTGCGAGGGAAACACAGTAGGTGATCAAGAACCGAGCATCTATTGTAATTTCCGAAAACAGATCAGAATCTAGACGCTGTACCGCCTGACATCGCTGCATGGACAATCGAGAGTACGTGGAAATATTTGGGCGACAGACTATTTGGGTGACAGACGAATTATCTCCTGGTGGGATCAAACGGTGAGTCATGCTAATCACCGTCATGGTCCATACTCGGCTGACTGGTAAAGGGACATGTGGGGAAAAAACAATTCGGATACGGGGAATCGAACCCCGAGCTACCGCGGACAGGATAGGTCCTTTGAGAGGCGGTAATGTTAGCCTTTACACCATATCCGATGACAGAGATAGTTCAGCAAATCTATATGATGTGAATTGGACGGCAAACGGAACGTGTTTGGGCGAAATCCTTGTGTTCATGACGCGAGCCTGAAAAGAGCGACAGACTCCATGTGGTCTGTTGGCGGAACAAATCAAGCCTCTCAGACTTTCCAGGACGCACTTTCCCTCACTTTTCCCCTTTGCCACCTCGTCAACAGACCAAGAGACGATCTGGCAAACGTCCCAAGCCTGCGTGTGCACGTTGTGGCTACGTACACGATCGCCGGTGCGCGAAAGGCGAGTAGCTGTCATCCGAATGCCTTGTCGTCGCACTCCTAGCGCTGCAGATCGACAACGAGCGCCGTGCACACAGGAGGATACTCGCCGACGGCACTAAAAATCTGCGCCGCATCGCCCGCACGGAATGAGACTTTGTGCGCTAGGCTGTTGAGTGCTGCATTGTCAGTCACAAAGCGAATCGAGTCCGCAGAGAGCCCGATCCCGGCAGATTGGGGGCGGGGAGATTTACACGGATGTGGACGAGAACTGGCCTGATAGCCGAAAAAAAGCAGGTCCCCGACTCGCTCGTGGACAGTCGCCTTGTGGTCCGTTGGTCCGTGACGCAGATATGATGATCATTGGCAACAAGCTCCGTAAGTGGCAATAGGAGTGTTGCCCCCGGAATCTCGAGGGAGTCGCGGAGTAAGAGGGACACGCCCTTCCTGTAGGTGCATATTTTCCGTGTTTCGATTGAAACTCAGGATAAAGTGTGACGTCAATACTGGGCAAACTTACTTTGCGATTTTCATTGTGCACTGGTCCCAAAGCTGTGTTCGGAAACTGGAGTGGCGAGGGGGAATTCTTGGAAATCATGGGCTTCAGATTGGGGCTAGACCTGTAGTAGTACTAGTACCACCTGTACCTCTGTCCAGTACCTCTGTCCATTACATCGCGCTTGCCAATTCACCTGGGTTTTACCCTGACATTTGAACTTTCTTAAGTGAAGAAAGAGGTGCAGTGCAGAGGTGGACGGACCTGAAAGAGGATCTGGCACCATAGAATGGACTTCTGCAAAGTGCCCCGTGAGATGAGGTTGCGCGGAAAAAAAAAAGTTACTGATTTGCTTTGTCAGCAGGCCTGCTCTCACCGCTCCCACGCACACCACCAAAACACTCCGACGCTCCCGATTCTCTCCCCCCCGCCCTCGCTAAATTCCGAGTTCATCAATGCTGGTCGACCTGTCCAGGCTGTCCTGGTCAAACGAATTCGGCCCTACGTCGCACACTTTTTATATCATTTTTCTGCAAACCCCCTTCGATATCGACTCCGGTCTCATCTTGCATCGCCCGCCTTGCAATTTGCGGCTCCCTCGAACTCGCTCGCGTTCCCTCACAGCGCGCTACAGCACCGAGCTCGCCTTCCATCGCTCTAGTTCTACTTTGCATCACGCCTTCCATTTTGCTTGCTGCCTATCCTCTTGCCGGAGTTGCCGCTGTCCTTTTCTTCTTCAATCTACCTCTGCTCCTTTCCCTTGAATCGACAACAGTATACTCGTATCTACATGAAGCCCACACACGCGTTTATGAAAGGCCACCTGCGCCACTTGTAGCCTTGACCTTTGTGCGATCTCACCGATCTCTAGGCACCTCAATGCGTCAGTCCTCAGGCTGAGTTGTGCAGAAGCCGACACGAGCCACAATGTTCCATCCTCGCCCTTTCTTGGCCAGCTTTAGGACTTCGCCATGCCAACCATTCCTAAGTCTACTCTCCCACTCCCATTCGTGTGCGAAAATCCATCTGGCACACTTTGAAACGTTGACAGTTGTGTTCTTTTTATCGTTTTTCGGTTGGGATCAGCATAATTGGGGAGAGCACGTTAAGGATTTGGGGTATGAGCCGTGTAACTGTGGTGTTGCTAGAAGTGAACAAGAAGAGGACGTTACCGCCACCTTCGCAAGGTTACACGAGTAGCTTTATTTCAGACTGTTTTGAGACAACATTCAGATGATTGTCGATCGACAACACATCCGCGGAGTGGTGCCCTACAATTCCCAAGCGGCATCCGGGCACAAGGCCCAGCGAAATCAAACATCAAACACCCATGGCGCACTGACTCGGACCTAAGTCTTAGTCGTATCTGGTGAACGGTAAAGTGCCTTGCCCGATATCGACACCAAAAATCGTCGTATTCCGTAAAATTGAGTGCCACAGTTCATAAATGGGTCAAAATACATCGGGAAAAAAAGTGCTGTACCCTGTCTGCTACGGTGTCGAACGAGTCAAAGAGAACAATAGGCAAGGGGCAGAGAGGCACCAATGTTAACGTCGGCGGGAAGGAATGAAGAGAGCACTCACCAACAATGATCTATCATCCGCACATTTACTCTGTTCCCGGCGGATTGACAGCCACAGGGTGACCGGAGAGCTGGCGTGCAGTGAGAAACTGCGTGAGGGCTTGCTTGACAGGTCCCGATAGTAAGGACTCCGGTAAGAAAATACTTTGTAGCGCGGGTAGCACGTCCATCACTCTTTCCCCAGAGAGATCTTGCAACGCAGGCACGACGCGTGGTGTAAATTCCTTGTACAGGGATAAACTTTTCACGGTGGTAAATCGGCGTAGAAGTTCCAGCCATTGGGCGTTCTCCACATTCGCTTGCCATTGAGGTTGAATAGACCACCCATACCGATACTCGTAGATCTCGAGATGTTCCAAGTCGAAAAGGGAAAGAAAGGACGAGTTACAGACCTGCGTCAGAGAGGGAATCTGCTGATCGAATGCCTGACTTAGGATCCACAAGCTGAACCTTGGGTCACCGGCCTTTGTCAGGGAAATATTAACAAGTTCACTGTTAAACGTTATACACGCCTGACTTGGTGACCTGAGCTTCTCTGCGTGACGGATAAAGGAGCACAGCCGTGGAGTATTGAATATGAGTTGATTGAAGAATTGTATATTAAGGTAGCTGAGTAGCGGGGCATCAATGTGGGAAATGAGGTTCTCCAAGTACTCGCTGACACCTTCGAACTCAAAATTCTTGAGAGCAGGGAGAACGGTGCGGGTCGACGGAGGTGGACTTGGCTGATCTGGGCGAGATCGGGGTGATACAAATCTAATCTTGAGCATTGTGAGCCTGGTCAATGCGGACAGACCAGTGGCCATCGCCTCGGGTGAAATGTACCCAGCATGGGGAATATGCGAAAGGCAGAGTTGGACGAGGTCACTGGAGGACAAAAGTAGGTTTGGTATTGCTGGAAATGAAATGCCAAATAACCAAAGCGACTTTAGACGGGGGGCAGATCCGCCCAAGAACAAATCGGGAAGGACCACCATTTTAGAATCTGCATTTAACCAGAGATCTGTCAGCGCTGGGAATGGGTCCTTCATGGCTGCGGCGAATCGTTTAAAAACGGAATTTGGGATGGTGTTGAGGTGGATGCGACAGACACGATCGGGATGACCGAGTGCAGCAATGATGTTACTCGCACCCTTCACTCTCGAAAGTCGGCCACGATTGTCCTCTATGACGATGGGCAAGGCTGGCCAGACATCCAGTGTCTTCCCCACAGGAGTCTTGTATGTGCACCGAAGTCGCAAATTCAGGCGACGTGTTGATGCAAACACAACACTTCGCCATCGTCTGCAAACGTGCACCAGTGTGGGCCATCGATGTACGTTGTCGTAGTCCATGTAGATATCGAATATTTCTAGGAGGACCTCGTCGGGGAGTATGTCGATTGTCACTACTCCACTGGTCAGCGTCCCACCGATACTGCACAACGCACAAAAGACGTACGTTGGCCCTCATTGCCGGGCATCTCCCTGAGATGCAAGGAATGCCCTCTGACCACCGGTTCGTGGGATGGGCCACTGATTAGAATCGAAGATACAGGGACGTTGAGAGGTAATGATGGATCTACGCTGGAGGTCGCTGCAGTTGCAGAGACTTGGTGACAGAGACAACTAATTTATAGGCAAACGATGAAATACACACCCGGGACGTGAGAATTGATAGACGGAGAACCAACCTTATTGCTGTTGAGTTCAGCAGGTCATTTCCCCCATCCAATCCCACGAATAGTCCCAGAAGTGCACATAGAACGAGCTTCCCATTTGCGAATGTAGCAGGTGGCCAATTCCCACTGTACTGTAGCAACTAGCAACGGGACTTGGATAACATTTCGCAAAAATTGACAAGCCCTGGGGTGGACAATCCCACATCGCCATGGCTACCACATACAACGATCTAACCGCATTCAGATTGGGGTACAATCATGAAAGGGACAGTTGGACTGATTTCTGATGGGATCGCATAAGGCTGTCAAGAAGAAATGGAGACCCCGCTGGCCGTCGACCACTGTAGACGTTGCTGAACTCGGACATCGAGGGCACACTAGTAGCGCTGCTAGGACATTCGGCTGCTTCCAATGTCAAGTCACTTGTGGAAGGGTATGTGGTGAAAAGGAGAAAATACTTTTTTTTTGAAAACGCACGCACTCACGCGACTTGCTTCGTCAGCAAGTTGTTCCGGACCCCGCTCTGTTCCTGGCTCCTGCTAGCGCTCCTGCACCCGCAACTTCCCCTGCCCACCCCGAATGGCTTTCATTGCAAGTGCCACTAGCAAGGACTGCCGTGGGGTGTCCATGGGTATCGGGCGAGGGCATGCGTTCCACTCGACAGCGACAGTGGCCACTCGACTATACCTATTGGCTTACGGTCGTGTTGCTGTCAGGTCCGAATTTGAATTCAGTTGAATAGCCATATTGCCTCCTCTGACTTTGTCCTGAGTCGTGCGGAAGCCAATGCTCCTAAGTCTACCCTTCCGCTCCCATTCGCATGCGAAGTCACCTGTCCGTCATACATTCAAGCGTCGACGTTTGTACAGTATTCTTTTGCTCGCGATCAGCTCTTGTTTTTTCGCCACACGCAACTGTTTCTCGCCGTAAATTAGCATACTGGGGGAGAGCACAATGAGAAATTTCAGTATATGCAGCACTGTAGAGATCGCGCCCTTCATCCT